TCTCTTGTAGTTTGAAGCCATTGCTCCACATCCTAGTCTTCAGGGCAGCAGAAAACAAACTTGCTCCCTCCTCCCTATGACTTTCTCTCACATATTTATACATGGCTATCATGTCTCCTCTCAGCCTTCTCTTCTTCAGGCTAAACATGCCCAGCTCTTTAAGCTGCTCCTCATAGGGCTTGTTCTCCAGACCCATGATAATTTTAGCAACCTTGATCATTTTAGCAACCTGACACTTGGTTTTTAATTGTGTCGTGTTGTTATTGATAATGTTATTGCTTGAGTTTTATTTACTGCTGTATTGTTGTTGTCTTTATTGTTGTATTGGGTCTCGGCCTATTGTAAGCTGCACCGAGTCCTTCGGGAGATGGTAGCGGGGTACAAATAAAGGTTTTATTATTATTATTATTATTATTATTATTATTATTATTATTATTATTGTCTACAAGCCTCCTATACTAGTAATTGGTCTTCAGAACTGGGTCCATCTCAAGTTTATTTCTTCAGTGAGGCCTCTTCTTCACTGCCATATAATCCAGATTATCACAGCAGATTCCGACTCTTCATGGTCTCATGGACTATCCCGCCAGAGCTCCCTGTCAGCCGTCACCACCCCCAACTCCAGTCAGTTCAAGGATACCATCCATCCATCTATCCCTTGGTTGGCCCCTCTTCCCTTTTCCCCAGCATCATTGTCTTCTCTAAGCTTTCCTGTCTTCTCATTATGTGGCCAAAGTACTTGATCTTTGCCTCTAATATCCTTCCCTCCAATGAGCAGCTGGGTTTTATTTCCTGAAGTATGGACTGGTTGGATCTTCTTGGGGAAGGTAATGGCAACATTATCTGCTTTGAACTGGATAATATGCGTTTACACTGCCATATAATCCAGCAAAGGATCACCGCCTTGTCAGGGCGCTGGAGCTTGAGCACCTCAATGATGTCATGAGCGAAACCGTGAAGGGACACCCAAGACGGGACGGTTGTGGCAGAGAGGTCAGACCAAGCGTGATCCCTGGGGAAGGCAATGGCAAACCACTCCAGTATCCTTGCCAAGAAAACTAAATGGACCAGTACAACCAGAGATATGTCGGTATGCCATTGGAAGATGGGACTCCCAGGTCGGAAGATGGCCAAAATGCTACTGGGGAGGAGCAGAGGATAAGTTCAACTAGCCCCGGATGTGATGACGCAGCTAGCTCAAAGCCGAAAGGAAGGCTAGCGGCCGACGGTACTGGAGGTGAACGACGAATCCGATGCTCTAAAGATCAACACACCATAGGAACCTGGAATGTAAGATCTATGAGCCAGGGCAAATTGGATGTTGTTATTGGCGAGATGTCAAGACTAAAGATAGACATTCTGGGGGTCAGCGAACTGAAGTGGACTGGAATGGGCCACTTCACATCAGATGACCACCAGATCTACTACTGCTGACAAGAGGAACATCGAAGAAATGGAGTAGCCTTCATAATTAATAAGAAATTCGCTAAAGCGGTGCTTGGATACAACCCAAAAAATGACAGAATGATCTCAATTCGAGTGCAAGGAAAGCCTTTCAACATTACAGTGATCCAAATATACGCCCCAACCACAGCTGCTGAAGAAGCAGAAGTAGATCAGTTCTATGAGGATCTGCAGGTCCTACTGGATAATACACCAAAAAGAGACATTATTTTCATTACAGGAGACTGGAATGCCAAGGTGGGAAGTCAAATGACAACTGGGATCACAGGCAAGCATGGTCTGGGAGAACAAAATGAAGCGGGACGCAGGCTGATAGAATTTTGCCAGGAAGACTCGCTGTGTATAACGAATACTCTCTTCCAACAACCTAAAAGACGGCTTTACACATGGACCTCACCAGACGGTCAACACCGAAATCAGATTGACTACATCCTTTGCAGCCAAAGGTGGCGGACATCCATCCAGTCGATGAAAACAAGACCTGGGGCTGACTGTAGCTCAGATCACGAACTTCTTATTGCCCAATTTAGAATAAAACTAAAGAGATCAGGGAAAATACACAGACCAGTTAGATATGATCTCACTAACATTCCTAGCGAATATACAGTGGAAGTGAAGAACAGATTTGAAGGACTAGATTTAGTAAACAGAGTCCCAGAAGAACTATGGACAGAAGTCAGAGACATTGTTCAGGAGGCGGCAACAAAGTATGTCCCAAAGAAAAAGAAAACCAAGAAGGCAAAATGGTTGTCTGCTGAGACACTGGAAGTAGCCCAAGAAAGGAGGAAAGCAAAAGGAAACAGGGATAAGGGGAGATATGCCCAGTTAAATGCGCAATCCCAGAGGTTAGCCAGAAGAGATAAGGAACTATTTTTAAATAAGCAATGCATGGAAGTTGAAGAAGACAACAGAATAGGAAGGACAAGAGACCTCTTCCAGAAAATTAGAAACATTGGAGGTAAATTTCAGGCAAAAATTGGTATGATAAGAAACAAAGATGGCAGGGACCTAACAGAAGCTGAAGAGATCAAGAGAAGGTGGCGAGACTATACAGAAGATCTGTATAGGAAGGATAATAATATGGAGGATAGTTTTGACGGTGTGGTGAATGAATTAGAACCAGACATCCTGAGGAGTGAGGTTGAATGGGCCTTAAGAAGCATTGCTAACAACAAGGCAGCAGGAGATGGCGGGATCCCAGCTGAACTGTTTAAAATCTTAAAAGATGATGCGGTCAAGGTGATGCATGCCATTTGCCAGCAAATATGGAAAACACAAGAATGGCCATCAGATTGGAAAAAATCAACTTATATCTCCATACCAAAAAAGGGAAATGCGAAAGACTGCTCAAACTTCCGTACAGTGGCCCTTATTTCTCATGCCAGTAAGGTAATGCTCAAGATCCTGCAAGGAAGACTCCAGCAATACATGGAGCGAGAGTTGCGAGATGTTCAAGCTGGGTTTAGAAAAGGTAGAGGAACGAGAGACCAAATTGCCAATATCCGCTAGATAATGGAGAAAGGCAGGGAGTTTCAGAAAAACATCTACTTCTGCTTCATTGACTATTCTAAAGCCTTTGACTGTGTGGATCATAATAAATTGTGGCAAGTTCTTAGTGGGATGGGCATTCCAAGCCACCTTGTCTCTCTCCTGAGGAATCTGTACAAGGACCAAGTAGCAACAGTCAGAACTGACCACGGAACAACAGACTGGTTCAAGATTGGGAAAGGCGTACGGCAAGGCTGCATCCTCCCCAACCTTTTAACTTGTATGCAGAACACATCATGCGATGTGCGGGGCTTGATGAATGCAAGGCTGGGTTGAAAATGGCTGGAAGAAACATTAACAACCTCAGATATGCAGATGACACCACTCTGATGGCCGAAAGCGAGGAGGAGCTGAGGAGCCTTCTAATCAAGGTGAAAGAAGAAAGCGCAAAAGCCGGGTTGCAGCTAAACGTCAAAAAAACCAAGATTATGGCAACAAGAATGATTGACAACTGGGAAATAGAGGGAGAAACGTGGAGGCCGTGACAGACTTTGTATTTCTAGGTGTAAAGATTACTGCAGATGCAGACTGTAGCCAGGAAATCAGAAGACGCTTACTTCTTGGTAGGAGAGCAATGTCCAGTCTCGATAAAATAGTAAAGAGTAGAGACATCAGACTGGCAACAAAGATCCGCCTAGTCAAAGCCATGGTATTCCCTGTAGTAACCTACGGATGTGAGAGCTGGACCTTAGGAAGGCTGAGCGAAGGAAGATCGATGCTTTTGAATGTGGTGTTGGAGGAAAGTTCTGAGAGTGCCTTGGACTGCGAGAAGATCCAACCAGTCCATCCTCCAGGAAATAAAGCCCGACTGCTCACTGGAGGGAAAGATACTAGAGACAAAGTTGAAGTACTTTGGCCACATCATGAGGAGACAGCAAAGCCTGGAGAAGACAATGATGCTGGGGAAAGTGGAAGGCAAAAGGAAGAGGGGCCAACCAAGGGCAAGATGGATGGATGGCATCCTTGAAGTGACTGGACTGACCTTGAAGGAGCTGGGGGTGGTGACGGCCGACAGGGAGCTCTGGCGTGGGCTGGTCCATGAGGTCACGAAGAGTCGGAGACGACTGAACGAATGAACAACAAAATAATCCAGTTATGGAGCCCCCGGTGGTACAGTGGGTTAAACCCTTGTGCAGGCAAATCGGAGGTTTGAATCCAGGGAGAGTGTGGATGAGCTCCTTCTGACAGCTCCAGCTCCCCATGTGGGGACATGAGAGAAGCCTCCCATAAGAATGGTAAAATATCAAAACATCCGGGCGTCCCCTGGGCAACGTCCTTGCAGAGAGCCAATTCTCTCACATCAGAAACGACTTGCAGTTTCTCAAGTTGCTCCTGACATGGAAAAAAAAAGTCCAGTTCAAAGCAGATAATCTTGATTTTATGCAGCAGTGTAGAAGGGGCCTGAAAAGAGTGCGAGCTCTCCTGATAAAATAGATGTTTGCCTTGCTTTCCCTTCAGCTGAGGGAATGACTGTAAAGGCAATATATGGATTGCGAGATGTTGGGGTCGGACTACCTGGGCTTTAGAGCCCCCTCAACTATTTGATCCAGATGCTCTAAAACAGGCATGGGCAAACCCCGGCCCTCCAGGTGTTTTGGACTTCAACTCCCACAATTCCTAACAGCCAGTAGGCAGCTGAAGTCCAAAACACCTGGCGGGATGGAATTACATGCCTGTTACAATTCAGAATGGGCAGCCAGGTGGAGGATGAGCCACTCTTCCTTAAAGGTTGGCTGGATTGCTTTCTTTCCCAGGAAGCCCCTTCACAAGTGGCACGAAGCCCTGCTCCCCTCCGGAATCCCTCCCTCCCTCCGTCCCTTCCCGCGTGGGCCCGCGAGGACAGGAATCACAACGCAGGAGGCGCAGACACGTCAAACGGAAGAGAAGCAACCCCAGCGCCTTTAAAGGAAAGTGCCTGCGCAGCTCTGCGCATGCGCCTATGTGGGCACGCGAGGGGTATATAAAGGCTGGGACGCCGAGCTGAGAGCTCACTTGTCGGCGGGAGCTGCGCTGAGCAGAGCAGAGCGTCCCGAGCCAGAAGCGTGACTAGTGGAGGTGATTCCGAAGGGGGAAAAGAGCCGTCGAGGCGCTGTTTCGGCTCGGAGGCGGACGAGGCGACCCTCGAGGAAGGCTCCAGGAGGAAGCTTCCCGGACCCCGACGGCGGCGCGGCTTTTCCCGCAAGCGATGGCTGCCGCGAAGCCCCCCGAGGTGCCGGGTGTGGGTTTCCCGACGGCGATGCCGGCCTTCGCGGCGGAGGAAGCCTTTCCGTCCCCACCCGCCCGCCCTTCGAGGCTGCCCCGGGGCAAGAAGCCGCGCCGGGCCCGGCAGTCGCGCTTCAAGACGCAACCGGTCACCTTCGACGAGATCCAGGAGGTGGAGGAGGAGGGCGCCTCGCCGGCCGAGGAGGAGAAAGCCCGGCGCTCTTTCCTCCAGTCCCTCGAGTGCCTCCGGCGCAGCGCCCAGAACCTCAGCCTCCTCCACAAGGACAAGGCGCTCCGGCACGCCGAGGTCGGGACTCGCCTTCGAAACAGCCTCGACTCCAGCGACTCCGACTCGGCCCTCTAAACAAGACGGGCGGGCGCTGTCCGTCCTGGAGCGGGCGAAGGAGAAGATCGGAAGGAAGGAAGAAAGGACGGCGCGCCCTGGGGAGATGGACATGAACACACAGGGGATGAGCTTCTCCCTTTGGGCTTGGAGCCACGTTTGGGGTCTCCTTGGAAGCACATCGAACTAAGCCATCTGTGGACCCCTCTGCAGTCCACTGACCCTTCCATGCAGTTCAGAGCTAGCTTCAAAGTCCAGGCAATGAGAAAGAAGGCGCAGCTTTAGTTCAGGGCTGGATCTACACTGCCAGAGAATGTATTGTATGGGCAGCAGGCTTGGGCAAAACTTTGACCCTTTGGGTGTTTTGGACTCCAACTCCCACCATTCCTAACAGCCTCGGGCCCCTTCCTTTTCCCCCTTAGCCACTTAAGCGGCTGGGGGGGGGGGGGGAAGGAAGGGGCCCGAGGCTGTTAGGAATGGTGGGAGTTGGAGTCCAAAACACCCAAAGGGCCAAAGACTGGGGTGTTGCAAGTTTTCTGGGCTGTATGGCCATATTCCCAAAGCATTCTCTCCTGACGTTTCAGTTGCATCTATGACAGGTATTCTTAGAGGTTGAGAGGTCCTCACAACCTCTCAGGATACCTGCCATAGATGCAGGTGAAATGTCAGGAGAGAATGCTTCGAGAACATGGCCATACAGCCCGGAAAATTCACAGCAACCCAGTGATTCCAGCCAGGAAAGCCTTCGACAACATATTGGCCAGAGGCTGTTAGGAGTGGTGGGAGTTGAAGTTCGAAACACCCAAAGGGACAAAGCTTGCCCTGTAGACCAAACTGCAGTGCAGATGTGTCATCGAAGGCTTTCATGGCCAAAATCACCGGGTTGTTGTAAGTTTTTCTGACTGTATGGCCATGTTCCAGAAGCATTATCTCCTAACATTTTGCCTGAATCAATGGCAGGCATCCCCAGACTTCATAACCTCGGAGGATGCCTGTCATAGATGCAGGCGGAATGTCAGGAGAAAATGCTTCTGGAACATTGCCATACAGCCCAGAAAACTTACAATCACCCTGCAGTGTAGTTGTGGCCCATGACTGGTTCTATACTGTTATATAATAATCACGTTGTATGGCAGCGTAGAGCCAGTCTCTGCCATCAACATCAAGGCTACAAACTACTTCCAAGATCCCCCCCCCCCCCCCAATAACCATCTCCACAGCAAAACCACTTCTTCAGTACCAGTTTGAAACTGCATTCATTGGTCAGGGTAGATGGGGCCAAACAGGGTTGAGTATTCCTCATCCAAAACGCATGGGGACCAGAAAGTGTCCCTCATGTTTTGTACTTTTGGAAACACATCAACTGCAGGAAAGGAGATTCCACCTGAACATGAGGAAGAACTTCCTGACTGTGAGAGCTGTTCAGCAGTGGAACTCTCTGCACCAGAGTGTGGTGGAGGCTCCTTCTTTGGAGACTTTTAAGCAGACACTGGATAGCCATCTGCCAGGGGTGTTTTGAATGTGTTTTTCCCTCTTCTTGCCCGGGGGTTGGACTGGATGGCTCACGAGGTCTCTTCCAACTCTATGAGTATGAGATGGGACTCAAGCCTTGGCACAGAGTTTCACACACATAGCTTGGAAAGGTGATGGTATATGTTATGAGCAAAAAGCTTGTATATGTTGGGTTGCTGTGAGTAGTCTGGGCTGTATGGTCCATGTTCCAGAAGCATTCTCTCCTGACATTTCACCCACATCTATGGCAGGCATCCTCAGAGGTTGTGAGGTCTGTTGGAAACTAGGCACGTGGGGTTTTATGTATCTGAGGAAAGTCCAGGTTGGGAGAAAGAACTCTTTGTCTGTTTGAGGCAAGTGTGAATGTTGCAATCGATCACCTTGATTAGCATTGAATGGCCTTGTAGATTCAAAGCCTGGCTGCTTCCTGCCTGAGGGAATCCTTGTATACATTGAACTGTCAGAGAGCAAAGGTGTCACTTTCTCAACTTCTTGCATGGACAGTTTTGGAATTCCAGACAAGGGATACTCAACCTGCTTGTATCTATATTGCAAAACTTGAAGGGACATTTTAAGAAAAGACTGGGCTGCAGAGGACTTTGGCTCTCCTCCTTTCATTGGATGGACTCCGCTTTACTTTTTTGTATCCTAGAGCCTAATCCTGACAGACAGAGACTTGGAAGGACTCCACTCCTTTTTCTGAATTCAAAAGATCCGGTGCGAATGTGCTAGATTTCCAAGAGCAGTGTGCAAGCGAGGCTGGTCGCTTTTTCTTAAAGCAAAGTCCTCCTCGTGCATATGTTTCTATCTCGGCTGTGTCTCTCCCCTAGAAAATAAAGAAAAATGCACATCTTTTTCTAACTTAAGGACAAAATAAATATTGAGATGTTTTATGGATGCAATCCGCTGCTGACTTTATATTTATTTTTGCATTAACTTTCTGACTGCATTAATTTAATATGTTTCTACCTGAATGTCTTGTAATTATTTACACGAGAGAGAAATAAAGCTGATATATTTGCACAATGCACTTGGACTGGTTAATATTGCAACTGATAATATTTAAAGTGTTTAAAAATCTCTGGGAATGTATTGTAGGGAAATATTGTGGGGAAAGGAGAGGGAGAGTTTGGGAAGGAAACCAGATACATTCAGAAATAAAGGATAGCAGTGCACATTAGAAATATGTTTGAAACCAGGAGATTTACTAAAAAAAAAACAGTGCTTTCAGACATAATGTTGAAAGTTGGACTTCATATCTTCTAAAGATAATTTAATATGTTTCTACCTGAATGTCAGGACCCTGATGGCGCAGCGGGTTAAACTGCTGAGCTGCTGAACTTGCTGACTGAAAGGTTGGCAGTTTGAATCCAGGGAGCGGGGTGAGCTCCTGCTGTTAGACCCAGCTTCTGCCAATCTAGCAGTTTGAAAACATGCAAATGTGAATAGATCAATAGGTACCGCTTCTGTGAGAAGGTGACAACACTCCATGCAGTCATGCTGGCCACATGATCTTGGAGGTGTCTACAAACAATGCCGGCTCTTTGCTTAGAAATTGAGATGAGCACCATCCTCCCAGAGTCGGACACAACTAGAGTTCATGTCAGGGGAAACCTTTACCCAAATGTCTTGTAGTTATCTTCCAAAGGTCCCTAAATGCTTTAACTTTTCTGTACCTATGTTGAAGTTCTGGCTGGTTGGTTGACCAAGGTTTCTTAATGTTTGAATCCTCTCTGCCTTTTAGATATCATTCTAAAGTTCTAAAGTTTTGAGACTTTATATAATGCTGTTTATGGAAGATCAAGATGTTGGGAAGAAAGCTAACTGATACTTTTCTGAAGGAGGAAGCACCTCTTTTCAAGCACTCTGAAAACGAAAAAGGGAACCTATAGCTCTGTCACTCTCTCCCCACCACAGCCTTGCATATTCCTGATATCTTTTCATTTTAAATCACAGCACATGTTAAGGGAAAATGCAATGCTCAAGTGTTGATACTTCTAAGAACTGTCATTTTCAGTTTATCCAACTTCAGGCTACTATTGGGTTACTTTGCTGGACTGCACACATTGAAAACACACCTTGCTTTTGAAACATTCTGTCAGCAAAACACTGCATTCATTTCTCTACTTGACTATATTCAGATGCACTGCTCAAAATCCAGTGCTATAGTATCATGGAGCTTTATTTGCAGGAGACAGACTAGGACTTTTGGAGAAGGGACTCTAGGAAGCTATCGCTCAAAATGGGACTGACCTTTCTAAGGGAATATCTGGACAATTTCTACTTGTGCGGATTTTGTGTGCTAATGTCAAGGTTGATTTTGCCCAGTTGTCAAACTCAAGGGTAGGTGTTTCGGAAGAAAGGAAAGCTGGAACCGGAAATGCTGGGAATAAAAGGCACTGACAGTTGAAGAATATAGGGCTACGGAAGGTCTGAAGCTACAGGACAGGATGTACTAAAAAGTAGAAGGGCTCTAAATACTGCAGTTCAGAAAAGAGGCGCTTCTGCATAATAGAGCAAATGCAGTTAGCACCAAAAAAGCAGCTCATTGTTAGGCTGCAGCTGTCCCAAATGTTGTTTTTTTCTGTTCAAAAATACTCAAGGCTTAAAGAGATCACAGGAGCAAAAGCTTTGTGATAATCTGACATGAAATAGAATGATATTTGGGAAGAATGTTTTTTAAGAAACTTTCAGAATTAATAAAGGATACGAGGAAGCCCGGTTTTCCTCCTCGAAATAGGAATAAAGTGTTCTCTTCTTTGCGTATAAACAGACAAGAACATAAACTGCATGCTTAATGAGCAAATATACCATAGAGTCCAAAATGCTCTTTCTCCAGCTTGAATATACCTACTGAGCAAAGTTTCAAAAATGTCTTAAAATTAATTATTTATCAGTCTTTTTTCGGGATTGTGCATTTCCAATACCACATTATTTAGAAAACCCACAAAACTTTCAGTGAAGTTTGGAAATGTCTAAATTCTCTTTTAAACACAGCATTATTATTATTATTGACACAAAAGCACAGTATGTCACAGAAAACGAGAACAATATGCTGGATTTCATATCACAAAATCACAAGTCGAACACTTCCATTATTATTATTATTATTATTATTATTATTATTATTATTATTATTATTATTTGAAACACAACAAGATGAGGTGGTCTTTTGCAGCTGGCAGATGGTAATTTTGTCAGCACCGATTGTGTTTTAAGTGAAGGCCAAGGTCTTTAGGCACTGCACCCAGTGTGCCGATCGCCACTGGGATCACCTTGACTGGCTTGTGTCAATCTTTGCAGTTTGATCTTTAAATCCTCATATCGTGTCAGGTTTTCTAGTTGTTTCTCTTCAATCCTGCTGTCATCTGGGATTGCAACATCAATGATCCATACTTTGTTTTTTAACATGATCGTGAGGTCAGGAGTATTGTGCTCCAAAACTCTGTCTGTCTGAATTCGGAAGTCCCAGAGTAGTTTGACATGTTCATTTTCTGTAACTTTTTCAGGCTTGTGATCCCACCAGTTCTTTGTTGCAGGCAGATGGTATTTGTGGCACAAGTTGTTGTTGTTGTTGTTGTTGTTGTTGTTGTTGTTGTTGTTATTATTATTATTATTATTATTATTATTATTATTATTATTATCTGTTGTGGGCTGGTCCATGAAGTCACAAAGAGTCAGAAGAGACTGAATGAATAAACAACAACAAATAATAATAATACTTTATTTGTATTCTCCCCTACCTCCCTGAGGAGACTCGGGGTGGATTCCAGCATATACATATAATTCTGCAAGAGCATGTTGGCTGCTTACAGAGACTGGGATGGATTCAAATTACTGCATCCTTCCAGAATCTTGAAGCAAT